TCTTGATAACAGATAATAAAGAAAAAAATTTAAATTTTTTAAAAAGTTTCATGTAGACTGCACTGTGGGATCACATGGGCCACATTTAGGTTCTCAGAAACCAGTTCTTCATTGACTGAATTGTTCTCTTTTCATTTGCTGTAGACGTTAATTTACTGTTAATTTTTTCATATTGGTTTCAGACACACTTAATGTCAGAAGACATCATGACCATTAAGTTAATGATACAGGTACTTCAGATGTACATGTGGCTTTACTGCCTGAGAGGGCCAATTATTTGGCTTGGAAGCAGTAGACTTCCTCTTCTTCAGTTTACAAATATGGGGAAAAGTGAATGAACACAGGGGGGCAGCATAATCCTGTTTGATAGTGAACTTGGTGCTTTCTTTTTATTGACCTCTTAAATAGAAACCTCTACTTTGAGATAAGTCATGTATATGGAGCTGTAAAATGCTATTTTAGTGAATAACTATTCCCTGAATCAGAGCTTGATTTTATACTTCTTAGTAATGTTTACTAGGCATCAGCAAGGCAAGAGCTTCCTTTGAATTCCTAGTTTGCCATGTGGCATAATGACAACTGTCTACAACTCAGAGCTTCAGTTTCCTTATTGGTATGCAAAGAGGGACTCAATCAAACAAGACTCCATGTGGGGAAGGAAGCCATCAATTCTATAAATGTTAGATATTTCTCAAACCAATATTGCTATTAAAATTATTATTTCTCTAGAAGTCTCATTTGTTTCCTTTTTTTGGAGAGAACTTTTTCATTGATGGCATTGATGATGTCACTGTCTATGCCATTAACCTGTTAAGAAAAGAGTTCTTTCATACATTTCACTTGGCCTATGAGAATTGTTCAGGCTGTGTGTAGGCTTATTTATTCATAAACTAGTCTCTTTCTATAACATCTCCCCGGTGTGCTGACATTTTCACATTGGATGGCAGTTTGGATCTCTAGAAAATGATCAAACCAAAGAGACAGAATTGAGAAGCCTCTCACCCTTCTATTTCTCTAACTCTGTTTTATTCCTTTTACATCCTTGTGATTCCAAAGATAGTAGATGAGCTTCCCTCCAATTCTTTGACCTCGTATTTTATCTTAACTCTTGTAAATACAGGAACAGTGGTTTAATAGGTATCATTTTGGATGCAGTGACAAGATATAGCCAATAACAGAAATATGAGAGGAAAAAGGAAAACCCAATGTGTAGAGCATCATATCATGCATCCACGGTTTTTTCCCAGTAGGAACATATGATTGAAAACACATGATGTTCACAGAGACCAAGGTTGTTCTGGGCCACTGCTGAGCTGGTGTCATGGAGCAATCATGATAATGACAGGTTATTTCAGGTACTGTGCTCTTTACATGCATTTGTCATCTGTCCTCACAATAGCCGTAAAGGGAAGATACTGTTATGGCTTTTACATTTTCCTGAAAAGGAAACTGAAGTTAAGGGGATTATGTAATTTACTCAAGGTCACATAGTTGTTAAGTGGTAGGGCAGGGATTTGAACCCAGCTTTGAACCTAGAAACCAAGTTCTTAACCACAGTATTATAGGCTTCAGTACAAAGTCGTATTTGTTGCTAGTGACAGTGAGGAAATTGTCACATCACTTACCGTTTTCAGTGGGGATAATGTACTTCTGAGATGTCTAAGTGGAGGAAGTCTATCTGGCCAACAAGGGCACAAAGGTCATGCCATTGTAAAAGCAACATCGATGAAAAAGGCCAGGATGAGAGTAGTAAATGAGGTAGAAGATTGATCTTAGAATTCTACCAACCTTCCCACCTGCCTGCCTCCCCATCTTCTTCTTTATCATCAATATAAATTGTATGTTTGTTTGTATAATTGTTTAATATTTGTAGACTGTAAGCTCCAGGAGGGCAGGTATTCTGTCTACTAGGTTCACTAGAGTACTTCCAGTGTCTAGAACTCCTGGTACACAGTAGGATCTCAATGCATATCTCTTGAATGTATGAATAAAAATAAATTACTGATAAATGAATGCATGGTAAGAGTTGGAAAAGATTTTGGAGAACATCTAGTCTGTCTCCCTTTTTTTAAGGTTGTGGAAACTGAGACTAAAAGGGGGTAACTAATGTTTGTTGAGTGGCTAATGTAAGCAGGTACTTATTAAGTTACCTCATTTTAGTCATCATGTTCACCCTCTCAAGAAGCATTTATCAAGTATCACTGTATAGCAGGCACTGTTCCACAGGGTCGGGGGCAGGGTCCAGGTGCTGCACTTTACCGCTTTCCACTGTTTTCTGAATATCATTAAATGCAATTTAAAAATGTCTGTCTCCAGTGATATCTCATGGAGCCTATGCAAGATGCTGACAGAATGGCCTCCTTTCAGGTGAAATTGTCTTAGCTGGGCCCTGTATTGGTAACTGTCCTCCACTCACATCTCTTAGGAACAGCCCTGCCAGAAATATAATAATGAATGTAGTGGACAGACTCACTGCTTTCATGGAGCATTCAGGGAAGCAGACCATAAATAAATACCTGAATAAAAATATCAGTTAGTGATATGTATTTGGCTGAAAATACAGTAGGGTGATGTGAAAGGGAGTGGCAGGCTTCTTTAGGTTGGGTTGCCACCTTCCTGAAGAAGGGACATTTAAACCAAGGCCTTTCACTTGGAAGTGAAAGATAGGAGGGAGCCATCTATGCAAAGACCATGGAAAGAAACATTGTAGGGAGAAGAACAGTAGGACAAACCTCTGAAGTAGAGGTGAAGTGGTGTGTTTGAAGGATAGCAAGAAGGGTGGCAGGGCTGCTATGGAATGGGCCAGCAGAGCAGTAATAGGGAAAGAGGAAAGGTGATTAGAGGCCTATATAGAGTCTTGAAGGCTAGGGTAAGATGCTTAGATTTTCTTCTGACATGATGGGAAGCCATTGGAAGGTTTTAAGCAGGCAAAAGACACAATATGACATATTTATAATATCACAGTGTAGGGACAACAGATGTGTGTGAGGGAAGAATGAAAGCAGGGAGACCAGCTAGGAGGTCATGGTAGTCTGGGAGAGAGGGGGTGGGGGCTTGGACCAGGTTATAGCTGTAAAAATGGAGAGAGGGGGGCAGAGTTTAGATTTATTTTGGAGATAGAGTCAACAGGACTTGTTAATGGAATGATGTAAGGGTGAGATGGAATCCAGGATAAATCCTAGATTTTTGGTTCAAGCAATTGGTACTGGTTCCTCTGATGGGAAAGGGGAGAGCTTATTTGTGGAAGAAAAATTAAGAGTTCTATTTTTGACCTGTTATGTTAGAGATATGGTAAGATATTCAAGGTAAAATTTGGAAGATGAATAGGATCTCAACAAGACGTGAAAGAACAAAGGAAATTTGGAAGAAATAGCGTAAGCTGAGAAAGTGCATAGCAGAAGGGGAAAAGATACATCATCAGTCCAGTGTGGTTAGAGCATGTCTGAGAGGGGAAGAGTGAAAAGAAATGATATGGTGGAAAATAAGAATACATTCTTTTACAGTTTGATTCCATTAGAAACCATTCATATTAAGTAGAATCAGGAAGAAACTAATCTATCATATTATTTGATATGAGATGAATTATTTTCTGTAGTTGATGTACCAAAAATATACCCTCATCAGAATTCTTCTCACAAATATAATAGCAGTCACCAAACAGTAAAGCTACCTTATTTTGACTACAGTTACATTTTACACAGTACTCTGTTCAGAGGCCACTCAGCCCAAGCCCCTTCTGTGGTACCTGCTATACAGACGAGGAGGGCTCAGGTGGCAGCTTCTCTGTCCTTCAGCTCAGTGACTCTAAATCCTTTTAGACCCAAGATCTTTTGATAATGAGCCATCTGTAGTATCTCTTTTAGCATACTGAAATAATATTCATAGCTAATATAACTAACTTCTACGAGTCACTGCAAAAATCTGTATGGTATTTCAGCTATAATATAAAGGATAAATAAAGGGAAAGTGATATAAATTAAAATACATATACCAATACATAAATGTTGAGCATAATGAAGTATTTAGATGTGACATGATTTTAAATATGCCAAAAGGGTCTCAGTAAAGAGCCAGACAAAGCAAGGTACAATTGTCCTTTAATCTACATGGTACCAGCATTCCTGAAAATTCAGTGTATTTTAAAGTCATGCAATGTGCTTTGAGTTTTCTTGTGACACAGTTAGGTTCCAGGCTCAATAATTACAAAATGGTCTCTCACCTGAAAGGATGCCTGTAGGACATTACAAAGTCATGCGGGAGCGCCTTGAGCACTGCAGGACACCCTGGCATCTTTGGTTCCTGCCCATGAAGTGTTCTCACAGATTCTGGAAATGTGCTGCCCTGCTAAGAACCACAGCTCTGGCTGTTCTCTGGGCCACTGGGACACTGACAGCCCTACATCACAGAGCACTATAACCTTTGTGTGAAGAAGGCACTGTCTCCCTGTCCCGTTCTGTCCTTAGAACCTGGTCCAAGGTATGTCCTTAGAAAACATTTGTTGAAGGAAAGGTTGGATAGATGGATGGATGGGTGAATAGATGGAAAGAGACTGTCCTCTTTGTTCTGTTTTGCAGAGCAACCCTTTAGATAGTGTTTTTTTCTCTTGTATGATTGAGGAAGGCTTTCAAAAATTATCTATGAGATAAAAAGAAGTCATCTACCAGTGTAGCACAGAGAAGGCTTTGTGGCATCTTACTACACTAATGAACAGTGACTGCAATGGGGCATGGGGGGGACTCGATAATATGGGTGAATGTAGCAACCACATTGTTTTTCATGTGAAACCTTCATAGCAGTGTATATCAATGATACCTTAATAAAAAATAAATTTAAAAAAGTAATCCACATTTTGAATAACAGGTGTGTGTAAAAATGTCTATTTATATTTGAGTGCCATCTCTGCTGTTACCTTTCTAATCTTCTATTTGTTAAACTTGGGGATGTACATGTTTAGTTTTCAGAATGTAAATCTGCTTATGCATTTTCTCCCTTCTTTCTAGCGTGGGAAGAGTTGGCCTCCTATGAAGAAAATACACGGGATTTTCTTTTCCCTGAGCCCAAGCTGACACCTTTGTACCCTGGGATGTGTAGGGAGGTACTCATGAAGACAGTTGCAGGTTTTCCAGTAAGTGATCCATGCCCAGCTGGACTTCTGTTGGGAGAAATCCTTGGAACATGAATACTTTATTCCTGATAGGGCTTGCTTTTGGGCTGATCGCTTCATCTTGGTTAGTACCCCCATTGCTCTGTACAGATACCTCTCTCAAAATACCAAATCATGCTAATTCCCCAATATTGACCTGAGAGGTGGGAGCCTTACCGAGTATGGCTAAGTCACTTTCATATTCACACTGTCACTGTTCTAAAAAGGTTGCTTTTTTCACCTCTTCTTAATGCAGATGAACGGAAAGATTTGATATCAGTTTATTTAATCATAGATATTATTTTGATAGTAATAATAACAGTAAAATAGAGCAATAATAGTAATAATGCGACTTCTCATTTATTTTGTGCTTTTAACTTTTCACATACCTTAATTTCCTCAGAACACTTCTCTAGTCAGCCAAGGCAGATAAATGAATTCAATTTAATAGAGCGAAAACAGAGTTCTACAGACTGATATTATTGAAGGAGCTTAAAAGACATAGCATTTATTTAGTTGATAATATAACTGTTTTGGGGAATTATCTCAACCCAATTCAAATTTGATGTAATCTGTGATGATTTCTAACTTTGCAGCAACTGACAGTCTTCTTGCATTTTATGCCCCTTGGATGACCTCTGTTTTAAGGGCCACATCTTTGTGAATTATTGCCCCATGAATCACTATTATTATAATTGAATAAAATGTTATTGTTTCCATTTTTTTGAGAGTACTGTATAGAATATATAGCATTCAGGACCCTGTTTCTATGACATTTATGATGACAGAACTTCTGGTTCTAATACTGCAAACAGCAAGCACTTATCAAAAGTTACCCTAATCAGAATTCTTAATGACCATAACTTTAAGCCCTCTGTAATCTTTGAGGGTTTGGTGAAGATCACTCATACCATTCTTTTCCTTCAGAGGACCATTCTTTGTGTTTCCCTTACATGGTACTTGAGAGATGCTTGCATTCATTATTTTGAGTTACTGGGATATTGCTTTTCAGAAGCTAAGAGGGAATAAAAACTGGTGGGAATAAGATGGGGGATACTCTTTATATTAATTTTGGTTTGTCTGTGTTTTCTAGAAAATAAGAGCCATTTACAAGCAACAGGTTGATATCCAGCTAAGTATCCAGACAAAGAGAAACACACTTTCTTATATATTCCCAAATGTCATCTCTGTTTAACTTTATAGGCATAAGTAGGGAGAAAAACTTACAGGAAATTATATTTATAGTTATTCATAAATGCAGGTAATCAGAGAAAGGGCTTTAAATTTCAGGAAAAGATCCCTGTGTATTAGAGGTAAAGTATCAATTCTTATAGTGTAGTTAATCAAACTACATTTTAAACACCTTATAAAAAGAAAGAGGGGCTCAATTTCTCTCAAATGTTCTATAAGGCAAAATTAAACCAGTTGCACAAATTTTAATAATTCATTCATTGTGTGCTCACTAGATGCCAGGCACTGTGCTGAGTTCATTACATGGATTATTTTGTTCAATCCTCCTTAACCCTTCAAGGTGGCTACTATTCTTTTCCTTGTTTTATGGATGGGGAAGCTGGCATAGGGAGTTTGAGAAATGTACTCAGATTCACAGGTTGAGTAAAGGAGCTGGGGCTTTCACTGCTGCTGGTCAGTCAGACTTCCAAGTTTGTGCCCTTAGTCACATGATGCTAACTCTTTCATGTTTGTTGCAGCCCAGTGTCCAGTTTCTTTTCTTTAATATTGTAGGACATGAGAATGAGTTATATGTACAGGTCAGGGAAAACATTCATTTCATTAATTTTTCTCTTAATTTATTAATTCATTAAAAATTAGGTTTATTTCCCTCACTAAAATGTGACTTATTCTTTTATTTACATATTTTGTTTTATTTCACTTGGCAACCCTAATAGCTCTTCCTTGCCCTTTTTCCAGCCGAGGTCAAACATTTTTTTTTTCCTGGAATATAATCTGTTTTCTTATTCGGTGAAGACTGAATTTGTAAAGTAAGCAGAAAGAATATATTTTTAATTATTAACTATTACAGGTCTTCCTCAAATTACAGTGGGGTTATGTGCTAATAAACTCTTTGAAAGTTGAATATATCATAAGTCAACGATGTGTTTATTAGTCTAACTTACCAAACATGATAGCTAAGCCTAGCCTACCTTAAACTTAAATGTGCTAAGAACTTACGTTAGCTTACAGTTTGGCAAAACCAACTAATACAAAGCCTATCAATAAAGTGTTGAATAGCACATGTAATTTATTGAATACTGTATTGAAGGTAAAAAAACAGAATAGTCATATAGGTACAGAATGGTTGAGTTTCAGGAGTTTACCCTCGTGATTGGGTGGCTGGCTGACTGGAAGCCACAGCTCACTGAGGCTGACCAGCATCATGAGAGAGTACTGTACCACATATTGCTAGCTTGGGAAAAGGTCCAAAAACTCAAGTGTGTTTTTTACTGAGTGTGTACCACTTTTGCACCATCATAAAGTCGAAAAATTTTAAGTTGAGATTGTCTATAGTTAAGAACTTCATTTTTTTTGTGTGTGTGCAATGATTCTAGAAAAATCCTCCTATTAAATCCACTTACTGACCTAACCATCATCAACATATTCCCATTACTAAGGGGATTTGACAAGATAGAGCCTGTAAAGTTTGATTTTGACTGCTATTCTAAAATCAGTTAAAAATGAAAAAGAAAGTGCATGGTCCTTATTGTCCAAAAGTCATTGCCAGAAGTGGCAGTTAGATAAGGCAAATAGGAATGTGCTACTGGGGGATGGGGGGGTGGATTCCTCACAGGTAGGACATATCCTCCTCCTCTCTAGGCAAAGTAGATCAGGGATTTGAAGACTTGTTAGGCAGTTGCATGTGTAGTGGTTAAGTGTAGACCCACTGTCTGGGTTCAGTCCCAGTTTTGTCACTCAGTGACTCTGTGACTTTAGATAAATTACATAATCTCTGTGTGCCTTAGTTTTCTCATCTGTAAAATGGAATTGATAATAGTACTTCCCTTACAGAGTTATTGTGAGGGTTAAATGAGGTGTTATATATGTATATGTATATGTATATGTATATATGTGTGTATAGATATATACAGGGTTTAGAATAATATGTAGTATATAGTTAAGTGCACAATAAATGTGAAGTGTTGTATTTACTATACTATCATTCAGGGGTAGTACTGCCTCCCTATAAGACTGCACGAGTCTGTGGCTTGAGAGATGATATGTTCAGGTTTAGGCAACTGGGCCATGGGGCTTGGCACACACTTAGGTTTTAAGATTCTACCAATAGTTCTGTGGACCTGGCAACTCCACCCTACCCTCTTCTTTGTGTGGGCAGTCTTGATAACTGGAGATGAGACTCTGCTGGTCATGTCATTGTACATTCTTTTTCAGATGCCCTTTGGATTATCTGACTCTGTGCAGTGATTGGGCTCTTTTGTTTATAAGCCCAGAAATCTTTGAGTTACCAGTCTAAGCCGTGCACTCTTATAGGCATACTGTGCATTCTAGAAACAAAGTTGTTGAGGATGTAAGTCGTGCCTTTAGGACTTGTTTTGTAGACAAGATGAATGCACAGGAATGGATGTGCATAGAACTGAATGAATGCACAGGGAACAACCTGACTAGTTGATCCTCCTTCCCCAACTCTGGCCTAAAAGAGGTAGCATGGGGCATGGGGTATTGGAAAGAAGACGGTTTTGCTGTCTGACAGTTTCAAATCCTGCTGTACTGATCTTTAGCTGTGGGACATTGGACAGACCACTTAACCTCTCTGAGCCAGTTCCCTCATATGTAAAATGGAATATAATTGTCTGCTACATAGGCTGTGTGAGGATTAAATGAGATCACACATGGGAAAGCTGCTAATAAAACCTGGCACATACAGTAAAAATGCAGTACTCTTGGTTTCCTTTCTCTCTAGAGCTTCAGCTCAAGGAAGTACTTGGAGTATGTTATATAAATGAATATCAACTGTTAGAGACTGGAGGAGGAAGTCAGTATGGGTGTGCCTGGAGTTGCTATTAGGGTGAGGCCAGGCTTTGAAAGACAGGAAAAGAAGAAAGAGAGGGCACCCCCAAGATAGGGAATACCTGGCCAAGTGGTGTTCTCTGGGGAGGAGGAGAGCAGAGGGTCATGCTGGGAGGGGCTGCAGGGTCAATTTGAAACAGGGTAACTCAGTCAGAACCAGATCCTTGCCAGTTTTGTCATTTACAAGCCCTGTGACCTTGGGAGGGCTGTTTTATGTCTCTTTAAACTTCAGTTTTTTAAGATAAATAAATGTATTTTTTATATGACCATACAGTAAAATTAACTGTCTTTTTATATACAGTTCTATGAATTTTAACACATGTATAGATTTCTCAAACCACTTTCATGGTCAGGATATGCAAAGTTCCATCACCCCTAAAATGTCCATCACATTATCCTGTTATAGGCACATCTTCCCCCTTACCCCTAAACACTAAAAATTGTCTATCACTACAGCTTTGTCTTTTTGAGAATGTCACATAAATGGAATCATATGATCTATAACCTTTTGAGACTGGCTGCTTTCACTTGAACAATGTCTTTGAGATTCATCCATGTAGTTTTGTGTATCAGTAGTTTGCTCCTTGTTTTTACTGGGTAGATTCCATTAATTAGATATACTGATGTTTATTCACCCATGAAGTATGTTTGGATTGTTTCCAGTTTTTGTCCATTTCTTAGTTTTATCATTTATAAAAGGGTTGATGATAATTGTATATTCCTTATAGTATTATGAAAATTAAACAGGATAGGGTGTGAGTATATGTGTATTATGTGTGTAACATTACATATAGACCTACATACAAAAATATATATGTCAAAGTATCTTAGTATAGTACTGAGCAAATCATAAGTATCAATCAATGAAAAAATGAAGAGTTTTGAGAGATGTAATGAACATAAATAATTAGTATAAGATGTAAAGCAAGTTTTTCAGAGCAAATAGGTAGGGAAGGAGAACGTCCATCCATCCTTCTACCCATTTGTTATCCTAGACCATCTCATTCAATTTTGTCCAATATTTTAAGTAGAGTATCTAATTGCTTGAGACACTGGAGTCAGAATGCCTGGGTTCAATTACCAGCTCTGCCATTATTAGCTGGACAAGTTACTTAAACTTTCTGTGTCTTGGTTTACTCATCTACAAAGTAGAGGTGCTAATTAGGATCTACCCTATAGGGTTGTTGTGAGGATTGGATGAGTTAATATAGGTGAAGCATTTAGGTCAGGGCCTGGCACTTAATATGTATTACATAAGTGTTTAGTTATTCTTCTTATGAATATATTTTATTTTTTCAGTTTTATTGATGTAAAATTGACAACTAAAATTTGTGTACATTAAAGGTGTACAACTTGATGCTTTGTAAACATGTACATTGTGAAATAATTGCAACTCTAGCTAATGAACGTATCTATCACTTTACATTGTTACTAGTTACCATTTTCTTTTTTTGTGGTAAGAACGCTTACAATTTACACTCTTAGAAAATTTCAAATATTCAATACAGTATTGTTAACTATAGTCACATTGCTGTACATTAGATCTCCAGAATTTACTACTCCTGCATTAACTGAAACTTTGTACCCTTTGAACAACATCTTATTTCCTCCATCTTCCAGCACCTGCCAACCAGCATTCTACTCTCTGCATTGATGAGCTTGACTTATTTTAGATTCCATATATAAGTGAGACATGAGTATTTGTCTTCCTCTGACTTTTTTAACTTAGTAAAATGTCCTCCAGCTTCTATGTTGTCACAAATAGCAGAATTTCCTTCGAAGGCTGAATAACATTCCATTGTATATGTATTTGTTTTATATTATTTTACATAATGTGTGTGGATTATGCTGACTACTCAAAAAGAGCAATTAGATTCTTGCATGATTTCAAGTGAGGATGGGAAGGGCAAAGAGTTGGTTTTCAATCATTTTATTTTCTGCTTTTATGCTGTTTTATTTTTAGGGCATTGCTCCCAAAATAGAGTTTTCTACAAGGACAGCCATCAGAGAGCGTGTGTTTCTGCATAGAAGCAGATTTCTAGTAAGTATAACCAAGAAGTCAGTGATAGAAATGCCAGGATTTTTCCCTGAAACTTAAAAAATTACAGCTCAGATGCATATTACCAAGTTTAGATGCAACTGGACAAATAAAAACCTGGAGACTCATTGCTAACTTTGAATTTCTGTATTCAAACTGTTTAATTCAGCCTATCACATTAGAGTGTGTTTGGCACACCTTTATTATGGTATAGTTGGTGGAGAAGAGTGTGATACAAAAGTTAAAATCACAAGTTTGACATAAGTAGGCTAGCTTCTTCCTGACTTTTTATTCTTGATCTTAAGAATAAGTGTTTCCATCTTTCTTTTGCTGAAGCTGAAGCTTAGTATTGTATTTGTGGGCCTTCTTTGGTAATCATGAAGTGCCTTGGGGTATCCATAAGCAGTACCTGTATTTCACCCTTGTTTCCACCTGATTTCCCCTCCACACTGATTTCTTTCTATGTTTTTTTACCTGATTGTACATAATTTTGTAACCATTTAAAATCCTTTCTAAAACTATGAATAATGAGTGTAATTTATAAAGCTTCTTGAAATACTTTGCTTGTTATCCCACATCTCCTCTGGTGTCCTGAAAAATATCTTGAAAATGTGAGATGTGGGTTAAAGGGTACTGCACGAGAAGGGTCAGTAATCTGCAAATCCATCTGTCCTCTGGGCATCATAACTCAGATGGGACAGCAAATCAATTAATTTTTTAAATTTGTTTTTATTTTGATATCATTAATGTACAATTACTTGAACGACATTATGGTCACTAGACTCCCCCTATTATCAAGTCCCCCCCACATACCCCATTACAGTCTCTGTCCATCAGCATAGTAAGATGCTATAGAATCATTACTTGTTTTCTCTGTGCTATACTGCCTTCCCTGTGCCTCCCAACCCCTACATTATGTGTGCTAATCTTAATGCCCCTTTTTCTCCCTTCTCCCTCCCTTCCCACCCACCCTCCCCAGTCCCTTTCCCTTTGGTAACTGTTAGTCCATTCTTGGGTTCTGTGAGTCTGCAGCTGTTTTGTTCCTTAAGTTTTTTCTTTGTTCTTATACTCCACAGATGAGTGAAATCATTTGGTACTTGTCTTTTTCTGCCTGGCTTC